AATAGAACTGTGAGCTTGTTCTGCTTTGATTAATGACAAAATGGTATGCTCCCATATAAAATCTAGAAGATACCCACATCACAAAAAATCATCCTAATTGATAGAAAAAAAATGGCTTTTTTCCAGTTTATAGTGATTAGCTGCTATTGGCAATACACCCCTAAAACTACTTTACACCTAAGAAGTATCAGGGGCTATACAGCATCTGTGTTAATATGCTGACAACTGATGCTCCAAGCTGTGGGAAGCAGTGCCATAATCTTAGATTGGTACCCAGTTTCTGCAGTTTCTATAACATACTGTCTGTGGATAGCTGCTCAGGATTTATTCAACAACAATGGATTGTATTTACAACATGCCAAAAGAGACAGTAAAAGTACTAAACTACAAGCTTGGCCCCTCTGGGAGAAGTCAGAGAGAAAATGTACTATATAAAGTACTCAAATGTATATTTCAGAGATTGAAAAATCATCTTGTGGAAGATTAAAAAAATTAAAGAAAATTATCAACCAGTCAACAGATGTAACAGGTCCTCTTTCTACAGTCACTTGAACTTCTATAATGATGCCATTCATCAGTACCAATATAGTACACAAATCTCAGCCTGTCAGTACTCTTCAGGTCTTTGAGCTCACCCAATACATTATGGTTCAATGTCAATCATAAAATCATCCTAACATTCTTAGTATTATTTTGTGCCACAGTAAACTTCTAATTGCAATGAAGACTGCAGTCATCAGTGATGACAGAATCTGGCCCCATCACTTGGCCCTATGATACAAGAACCAGCTTATGATTGAGAGAGGCTGAGAAGGCAGATGTCATGGCAGCTAAACTCATCTTACCTCTAGGAAAATATCAATGTTCTTGCCAGGACAACACTGGGAAAACTGAAACACAGCTGTCTGTCAGGGCTCTGATGATGGATTGCTCTTTTAACAGCTTTTTAGTCAATATTCTACTGGTCAAAGCACAAGATAAGACAATATAAGTGATTTTGTTCATATCAAATAATCATATGATCAGTATATAGGCACAAGATGATGTTCATATACAGGAATGCAGCATTTCTGAAATCTGTAGAACCTAATGAGCGGATACATACAACTCTACAAAACTTTTGCTATTTTGGAAGAGTCTTCTAGCTTTTACCTTAATCTGGAAATATAGGTATGATCTCTTTCCCTTTTGAAAATCAACCATTGAGATTATTTTCCAGTCTCCCTTCCAGGAGTCCCCCAGGCAGTCTATGCTCAGGGAATTCTGCAGTGTAGCTCCTGAGAAACAAGCTGCTGGAAACTGATGGATAAAGCAAAGATGCCCTGAAACAGCTTTCTCCATCCTCCAAAAGCTCCCAGGACTCCAAAACCTTTGCAGGCAGATCATACCACAGAAAAGAAATCATGTCCCACACTGGGACAGTTCAGTACAGTTTTCCTAACAGGATTCTAAAAGATTTTATCCAGTTCCATGACCCCACGGTGTTCCCTATGGATATTTTTTACCATGTGGGCCAGAGGAATACATACATAAGTAAACCTGCATGCATATATAAGCACTATCAGCCTGTATAAAATGGCTACTTATTTACTCAATATTAGCTTATTGAAGGTGAAATTGAGGTGAAAAAGTATGAAATGAAATTAACCAGAAACAGCTAATGAAAAAAAAAGGTGCAACCTTTAGTTTAGTCTGAGATGACACCTGGCAGAAGGAGATCACAGGAAATGCAATGCTGTTCCACATTAGGGAAAAGCTTATGTCACTTGATAATGTCCTCCCAGGAAGGTGGAGCACTCTGTCTCAAAGCTATTTATCAGTTCAGCATTTTTACTTCATTGGTTCTTACATTATACAATCTTTTATATCCAGTGCTTAAATTTTACTAACAGGTCCTAATTTAAAAGCTTGAATTCTATGATGTATCAAATAAAAATTTAAATACAGTTGAAGTTTACAGAATTTCCTAAGATGGTACTGTTTAAGTATACCTCATTTTCACCAAGTGGAAAAAAAAATTTGTAACGTTGTTAGGAATACTTTTAAATTGAGAGAATTGTTTATAAAAACAAGCAAGAAAAGGTCTTGCAGGCATTTTGAAAAAAAAAAAACTTGCAAAGCCAAGTATTTTTGATGAGGTCTACCAATTTTGCTTGCACAACTTCTGAACTTTAGGTCTCCAAAACAGTTGCATAAAATTCTTATGGTTTAAACCCTATTTAGCAGTGGAAATATTTAGTAATGATATTAGCAGGCCATATCTAAAAGTAGAGACAGTTATTTAAATCTGGCACCATGTTAACTGTACCGAAGGTAAAGTCTCTTGCAGATGCTCAAACCTTTGACTACTAAGGAACTAGGTTTTCTAGGATTCTGGGATTTCTCACTGTGCAATCCAAAATGCCAGTTTTCTCAGACCTAGCCTGGGAATCTCCAAAACAGTGTTTAATTTCAGAGCATATAAATTTTCTACCTTAATGCTGTAAGATGCATCAAACAAATGTTAATTATTAATAATTTGAAATAGAAATATTTATATACAGAAACTGAAGTTCATAGTTTCTGTTTTGATGCAAAAAATTCTAAGTTAAATATAAAAGTTTAATATTCAATATATGCATTTACAACCCTATGATAAAACACAAGGCAAAACAATTGCAGGGGTTAATGATGGCAAAACACCTGGGTAGTTCTCATAGTTTGGTAAAAACCTAATGAAAAAAGGATTTTTCAGACCTCAAAGACACTAAAAGGTCTTCCAATTTAAAATCAACAAGCGGTTATGTTGTAAATAATGTAAAGAGCACTTTGCAGTTTATTATCTACTCATTCTACACTGAATTCTTCCTAATAATTTGATTTATAAATCAGTACTGTATATTGTCATTGTGGGTAATAAGCACCTAATGAGTAACATGGGTTTTAATACTCCTATGCTTTACAGTCTTTGAGAAGCTTGGCAGTAACAGAAGAAATGAAACCAAAACACAACAGAAAATTCCCCCTCTTAAGCCACATCTACTTTGCAGTCACAGAAGTGACTTCTGTGAAGTGCGGTATTTTAAGTCAAATAGACCAGAAAATTGTAACTGTCTAGCTATTGCTGCTTGGCTTAACTGAGTCCACTCTTTTACTTCCTTGACAGCGATGTAGACATGTACCACAGACTTCTGCTCCATTCCATCTTTGTAGTTTCCTTCTTTTCTCCTTCTGTCCTTTTATTCTCCCCAAACTAGGAAGCTCAAGGAAAGTGAGGCATCAAACTAAAGCGTAAAGCTTAAAACATAATGTTTGGTGACCTTTGGTGAACCCAAAGATGAGTGGTGGTTGATGCACATTTGTTGTGCCTGAAGTGTCTAAATATTTCAGAAGTAAACAGCTTATGTAGACATATCTGTAAATATCTCCTCTCTAATACACAATTTTAGTTAAAGCCAGCTACTGTGGCTTCAATCACTGCCTGAAGACACTTGTGGGTATCACTGGGGGAGAAAGTGTGGTATTTACCTGATGAATGCCATCCAGAAGTCTTACAGTCTTCATTAAGACAATGAATCAAATAATCTAGGTGAATTCTTCTTTTCATTTCAAAACAGTTCAATTAGTAGTAGAGGATTTAAGTCATGGGTTAAACTGGAATCAGAAATTCAGACTTGAGAGGAAAATCAATACAACTGAAAATTAGAAAGAGACAAGGTCCCTGTGCTATATAAGTTTTTGAATCTTCTAAAAAATAGCATTAACTCTCAAACCCCTGGCAAATTGCTAATTTGATAAAAGAATTATAAGCCTGATCAAGGAATGCTTTAAATGAATAATTTTAATTTTAATCCCTTTTTATATACATTTTTCAACATTTCAAAATGAAGTCAATTTGAACTGAAAAATGAAAATTCACATTTAGAAATTTTGAAACAGGATATTTCAATAAGTTAAAACCTTTTTTTCCACAATATACTTTTAATGGGAATTATTAAGACCATCCATTTTCACAAACAGTGCTGCTCTTGATGAATAATACTTCAAGTAATTAATTTCATTGAAAAAACTCTCAGTCAGGTCAAATGGCAATATACACTATCTTCATGATAGACAGAAAACTATATAAAAAATAAACACTGTTTGCTTAAACACCCATCAGAATTGCCTTGCTTGCTATTGTTCTTTGGCTTTTATAGGCATTATTGCTCCTCTTATTTATCACTAATAGTGTTGAAAAGAAATGTATGTCACCTAGTTAGTGGAAGACAGGAAACTTAAATCTTTGGAATTTTCTTTTTCTCTGCAATGGGACTAGCCAGAATACAAATCAGATTATTTTTGCTGGCATGTTGTTGACTGCTTTCATAAGAATTATGCTTACATATCTTAGCAGGTCTAAACTCCCAAACATACAAGAGACTCTTGAGTCTTTTGTTTTCATTTATGCAGGAATGAGAGGGACACTAATTTAAGAAATCTGCACTGAAATCCTAAGTTAATTTATGAATGTGTCTCCAAAACTGCTGTTTTTCTTAATATAAATGTACACTGCTAGGAGGGACTTTGCCTAGGTTTAATCTCAGTCTCTATGGAATTTGCTGTATGATAACTGATGTCTGTCTCATGCATATTCTTTCCAGTTTCAAAGCAAAGGACTAATGCTTTTCCCCTACTAGCTTTTTGTACCTCTTTGCTTCACCTAATTTCTCTTTGTAACCAACTTCATACACCATTATCATAAACTCATTTTCTCTCTTGTGGACAGCAAGCAGAATCACTTTTCTCTTTTACCTTAAATTAACTTCTGCTTCGATATTTCTCCTCCTAAGAATCCAAATCCTTAAAATGCAATAAAAATCTTCATTTAATGGTGGATATTCAGTAGGGTTATTTTTAGGCTCTGCCACTTTATGGCAATGGTTGTAATGTTGCAGGAGGACAGCAAGACCCTGTTAATTCTTTCTGAAGTTTTACTTATTATATTATGTGTGTGTATATATATATATATATAGATATATATATATACACATATACACACACATATAAAAACCATATATATATATTTATAAATATATATAAATCTGTAGGTACGCTTGACACATTCTTCATACAAATACAGAGGAACAAGAGCAGGCTGCATAATGTATTTTAGAGTGAGATAATTGCTGTTAAAAAGAAAGCTTTCAATGGGATTAAAAGTCAAATGTTTAATGGCAAATGCCTAACTTCATGGAGAGATATTATTGTATCTTAATGAATAATGACCTATAAACTCATCACTTTATGGAATTGTTATTTGCAATATATACTGAAATAAAAATATACATTTTATAATTTTTTCTTTCGAAGCTCAAAATTTAGGAAATGTTAGATTAAAACCATAAAAATAATAAATCTGTTATGCCATCAATCACAAAACTAAAGAATTTGAATATTCCTTTTTATGTGCAAAATATTACTCCCATTTCAATGAATGGCATAAGCTGAAGCTTCTATAAAAATATTCATAGTAAAATACAGCATGAATCTATACTTACATTTAATCAGTTTTAGAAAGATGCATCCAATAGTTAGACACTGTAAAATTATTTAGAATCAGTCAACCTTACCTCAGTTACTGCTGAAGTAACAAAAGTATGCTGCAATAGACCTTTGTGAACTGAATGGCATATTTGCTCTCCTCTACATAAAGCCCTGTAAATAACCTACAGGTTGTTAGTCATTACTTAACTCAGCATCCAAAATGCTCATTTTAGCTCTTCCATATTAATACATTATACACAGAATATTTTAATAAACCATTGACAACAAGATGCATTTTAAGCAATGTAAGGAACAGTTACAGAAAAAAAATTTGACTTCCCACGTAAAGACCTTCTTAGAAATCCCTCCACTGAACATACAAACCCCTCTGAAGGAACTCAAAAGTCTTTAATGGATTGTCTTGGGACAGATCAGCAAAGCAGAATTCAGTATCTAACATAAGGTGCTTCCTGGGCCATTGGTGTAGTAAAGCATCAGGCAATGTATGAAATCCCTGCACTGTTTTCATTCATCTTCCTTCAGTTGGCAGTCACACTGGCTTCCTTCTGACGTAGTCTTTCTTTCTGTTAAAGAAAAAAAAGAGTTTTATTTTAATTCTTGTCTATAATTTTCCATCTCCTCTCAAGTTCCCATGAGCATCTGGTCTAGAAGATGAAGAAGTAAGTCACAGTTTCAGTTTTCTTTAATTAAAAAATGCTTGGAGCACTCAAAGAAGGTTTAAAACTTTGAAACACATTAAGTACTGAGTTTGCTTTCACTACATACTTGTCAAATACTGTGTACCTTTAAAAATACACATCTGTGATGACCACTGCAGCTAGAGAAAACGAGATACATTACAAATTCATGGGACTCTAATACCTTCTCATGTCTGGAATGGTTTCTGCTGACTTAAGGGCTCTAATTTAGCATTAGCTAGATGATATTGCTTAATGACCTCTTTCCAGGCAAGTGCAGTCATTCATATCTCTGCTGCCTGATCTGCAACTGATATGCTCTGCTGGGAATGGAAATAATACCCTGATTCCTTCATGTACATTTTCTTCCCTTCTCTTGCCTTCTAGAGTTTGAGAAATGCTTGTCTAACCTATGTGCCTTGCACACAGATAAAAAAAGGAATTATATACAATGCAAATTATCAGCTCTCTTACTGTGTTGTATCAAAACCACTGGTGTACAATAAAGAATAAATGGGAATTTATTCCCTTCTACCACAATTCCACGGTGAAAACAAGATTTTTAAGGTTTTCAAAAAACCAGACACTCCAGCCATTGGACAAATATATCTAGTGAGCTTCTGCACTTGGAAGAATGGAAGAAAATACAAGAAACTACAGTGGAAGGGAAGAAGAAAGCACAAAAGCAGTTCTTTTTGTTATCTAAAATAGCAGAGCCATGCTTAGGCACAATTGAACTAAATGTTAAACATAGCTGTTGACTACCAAAGGGCATAAGCTTTAACATTTCTCCTTGTGAAGAAAATCACTCTGCTGCATTCAAACTAAAACTACTAGGCTCTCCAACAACAGCAGAAACCAGCCATCATTTTGAATGACAAGAACGGTGTCACAAAACCCCTCTGGAATGTCATACTGAAAACCACAGCATACCAGGCTAGCTGTAGGATTGATTTTCTTCGTTTCAACTTTCTTCTCTGCAGTTAACTTGCTCACTGATTGCTGAGCCACTTTAATTCTGAAACAGAGAAAAGGAGTCATTAGACTTGAAGAAATGAAAGGTATTCTGGCTCTGCTTGATATACACTTTGTAAGAAGCCTCACCAGTAACTTTTCTTTGGGCACATTAGCCCAACAAACCACTACTTCTATTTAAAGGCACTTAATAAACTACCAAAAGTAGATCAAAGTACATTTTCAAATGGAGAAAATCAAAAGCAAAAGGACAGCCTGTCTGTATTGCTCCTTGAAAATGACATTGGAAAAATGATTTCTCTGTTCTTGCAGGATCTGGATTTTATGGAGTTATCTTTCCCACCAAAAAAGCTGTGCTATCAAGGCAAAAAGATCCTCCTCTAAAAAAAAAAAAAAAAGAGCTAGCTGGCTTAATCTGTTGTACACACAGAATATGCTATTTCAGCAAGCCATTTGCCAGGCTATACATTACATTTCCTCTGAAAACCTTGAAATGAAAGCATCTGCCAGTTTTTTTGTTAATGTTTTTTGTGTTGCTTTGGATGGAACTGACTGACCAGCCTCACTGATGTGGCAATAGGAGGTACAAGAGGTTCTTGTCTCAGGGCAGTTAAAGCTGTCTTGTGTACAGCAGCAGACTAGTCTGCCCAAAGTACTGTAGAGATAAGGGAAAAGAAGAACACATCTGATTCCTCTGCTTCTTGCCTTTTACTCAGGGTCTTGCATACAGAACCTTTCCTTCTGTAGGGATTTAACAAAAAGAACCAATGAGAAGTTTAATCAGAAGGAAGAGGAGAAACAGAGAATTAAAGAAAAAGGGACTTCATTCTCCTTGTACAGACTGGAAAGTGCATAGGAAATTATGTGCTAAACAGTGATAAAAAGGAAATAAAATTCTTGGCACTCCTAATAGAGGATCTGCCCAGTGCTAAGTGCCTTTATAATACTGATGGTACATTCAACTACTTTAAATTCTATATGCAAAATACAAAAAGAGGGAGGTTGGAGTGAATTTTTACAAGCAAGGAGAACTCAGTAAATCAATTTTCAGTAATGTACACCAAGTCAGTCTTTTACTAGAAGCAACACAATTCTTGGCACTCTCAAACTGAAAAATTCTACTTTCTTCTCCTATTTAACTTTTTCCACTGGCAGAAATAATTGCTATGGCCAGTCAAAAAGCATTTAAAATACCCTGTCCAGTTCAAATCACTTTTGACACACTCAATTTTTGAGGAATTTTGGAAGAAAAGCAAAAAGAAAAGTGGATTATAGCTGCAATTACTGATGTGTACTTCCTTGTTGTAACACTAGCAGCAAGCTGGATTCTTTTTAAAACACACAACACATTCATAAGTCCATTACTGTCTTTATCAATGCTGGAAATGTTATCAGTGTTGGAAACAAAAAATTTCTTCTCAACGTTATTTTAGAAGCATGTACAGGATAATTCCTGGTGTTGTCTCACTTTCGAGTGCTTAAGAAGAGGAGAAAACAGTTACACTACTTTCAACGAAATTTACTATTTATTATATTTTATAGATTAGTATTCTGTACATTTTTTAAACACAGCTGGTGTATTTTTAGAACTTAATTAGTGCTCCCTGTTTCTACATGTAAACAACTACGTGACAACAGACCATTCCATCCCTTTATTTATGTTAATCTGCACAGTTCACTTCTTAATGCAGGATGACTGCACCCCGCGGACAGCATGTTATTCCTCACAGCTACAACATTTATGCAAAGATGATGATGAATGTCAAGATGGTTTTCTTCTCATGAGAATCATACCAAGTGATCAGTTTCTAAACTCTTCCCTATTTTGAGCACATTTTCTATCTGCTCATATTCTCCTTGGTTCTAGAAGTGTTTTCAAATAGTTTTCAAATGTCTTGAGTCCACACTTTTACCCAAAGGTAGAATTATAGGGATTACAAACTTTTAGATTTAAAAAGAGAAGATTATGCCTGCCACTAGATACAGACCTAGCTCTGTATTATATGGCATATTTTCACTATTTCTAGGAAATAGTGATGTTTAAAAATAGAATGAAAGACGGAGCAAAACTTTCAGCAGGGCCTGTTGCAAAAGGAAAAGGGGTAATAGTTTTACATGAAAAAGCCAATTTAGATTAGGTACAAGGAAGAAGGTTTTTACAATGAGGGTGCTGAAACAGAATCAAGCCCTGAGATGGAGAGCCACAATCTACAGGTCACAGTCACAAGGACAGTTTCAGATAGAGAGCACTGGAGAGACAGAGAGACCAGAAGGGATGACAGAATAGCTGAACCACAACACAAGGGTGACTGAGCAGTGGAACAGGTTGCCCAGAGAGGCTGTGGAGTCTTCCTCACTGGAGATATTCAAGAGCTGTCTCGACACAATGCTGTGCCATGTGCCCCAGGATGGCCCTGCTTGAGCAGGGAGGCTGGACCAGGTGAGCCACTGTGGTCCCTTCCAAGCTGGCCCATGGCTAACTGAGCAAGCAGTTATAAGGCCAAAACATTATGGAATGCAGTGCACTTAAGCCTTCAAATCTGATGAGCTGCAACATGGATGTGTTCAAAAGAAAAGTTATTCTCCTTCAACTGTGATCAAAAGAAGTCAATGCACCTTAATTAATAAAGAAGATACGGTGTCAAACTGAGTGGTACTGCACATTAGCACACAATATGGCAAAATATTGAATTAAACATTTAACAAAACTATGTATTTTTAAATATGAGAACCATGACTCCAATACTGCACATGTATTCTTACTATAATCTATGGGAATGTAATTGGCTTTTTCCTGACTCTATGTGGCAGGTGGTGTCTTCCCCTGTAAACCGGATGAAAGCGAAGCCTCAAATTAGAAGTGATTAGTGAAAAATAAAGACATTATTTTTGTTCAAAACTATTTTCATTCTGTACCTAGGGATGCAGAAACCTGATCTAAACATAAGGCTGTGTTTATTATAAAGAAGTTTCCTTTGTAAGCTCAGGAAAATACGTTTTTTCCTTACAGGAAAAGATATTACCAAGCCAGGGACTAAGTAGATAAACTGATTATCATTTTCACCTCTGCTTTCCACTCAAGTCAGACAGACAGCACACTCCATCCTCTGAAGCTTCCCAGTTAGGAAAACCAGAATCCCTTGTAAATAAACCAATTGCTGTTCACATATTCATGGTCTGGCTCTGTTATTGTGCAACAACAGAGACCAAATTATCTGGTTTTCTCTCAGCTTCTCAATAATCTGGAAAATCCATTATTTTCGCTTCTACAGCTCCTTTCATGCAGCTGGTGGGTTATGTGGATAGCTGAGGGTTAGGAAATAACTTGGAATGACAGTTCTGTGTCACCTGAGCTTCCCATGACTAGAACTTAAAAAATCTCCCATAAAACTGCTTTGGCATAGGGAAAAGTTGTGCAAACAAAATTTCAGATATGGGCGGAAATGAACAAGCAGAGGTAGCTACAGTCAATATCAACTGTTCAATCTGGAGCCAAGCTGCATACCCAGTCCAGACCCTTAACACAGCTGAACAGTGACTTCCCTTAGGACAGTGAGAAATCCCCACGGCTCACATTCTTTTCATGTGTTAAATGCCTTTCTACTCTCAGTCCTATTTCTGTATGCAGCTCATAAACTAAACTCAAGTCATAGCTCCATTTCCTGAAAAATGTTAGCCCGTGAAATAAAACAGGTTAGATTTCAGTATCAAAATTTTAGAAGACAGGTGTTTGTGTAGTACCTGGGCTGGCAGATGGTTTTACAGAGTACCTGACTAGCTTTAAAATTAGAAGTCTTATGCCAGATTATGAAGTTTAAACGTAGCCACTTCTATTACTGTGTTGTACAATACAACTTCCCATCAAGCCTTCAGGCCTAAATCTTCTGGTAAGAACTTGGCCATTACTGATCAAATGCTTAGATTGCATTTAAACTAATTGTTAACTAACTAAATTGGTAAAATACAGTAAAATGTATGTTGTCAGTGGATTTTGTCATTAAACCTCAAATTGCCAATGTTTGATATGTTTCTTTTTATCTGGATGTACTGACAGTAGTTTATATCCAAAGTTATCTACAAAGTAAGTGAAAAATTTCATCTCTGTAGCAACAAGGGATAAGATTTAAAAAATTTTTTTTCTTTTAGGAAAGTTGATGCATAAGAAAAACCAATAGGAAGACAAGGGCTAAAGAACAAAAATATACTTCAGTTCATCTGAGATGGCCACTGGAAAATATTTAGGACTATATAAAGACAGCTAAAGCCTAGTGATAATCAGCAGAATGCTTTTGCAGCTGGCAACTCTCTTAATGTGTAAGTCCTTCGTAGATTTTGCTAATATAATTTTGTGTTGCAACCATTTAGAAGCAATGCAAGCTTTTACCATCTGTGACATCTTGTGACAAAGTATTTCTGTTTTCAAGATGACATATATAATTCTGTTCATTAAATAGTGATCATGTCTTCTCCAGCTATTGAGACAAATTTTGGTTCTGTTTTTGATTTTTGAATTCTGGCCTATTTATATGCAGATTCAATCTGAAAGAGATTACTTCATCCAGTACAGTAACCATTGTAGCAATCTTATCCTTGCAAGAGTCAGCAGTGAGTTGAGTTAAATTAAGAGCAACAATTCTTTTCTGTTTTAATTATTTCATATTTGAAGGGTAACAGGCATAAACATATTATTGTAATCTTTGTCACATTTATTCTGCAAAACATAATCACAGTTTGTGATGAAACTCACTGCAAACTACTAGTATTTCTTCTGTATTTATACCTTTTCCTTATTTCAGACTTGTCTAGGACATCCTCTTAAAATATAATTTAATATGTATAATGGATTTAAGTTGTTATAAATATGTATTTGTTTTGGTTCTGAATTCATAGACATGCCCACTGCAAGTAAAATTAGTACTTTAAGAAAAGGAGGTGACAGTGGAAATAACTGCAATCCACCTTGCTCTAAGTACTTTATTGCCAAAAACTCCAATTTTTTAGTCTTCAATTCAGTTATCATCTCAAAATTTCATACACAGAAAAAGCATAAAAGCAGTTGATGTACCTGAATGCATACACGATGTAAATTATAAAACTGTCAACAACAGGATTTTGATTCAAAACAGCACCAAAAAAAAGTTTCCAACATTAGGTGCACTTACATTCAGTTGTTTGTCACAGATGATGTGATTGTCAAAGTAAATTTTATTTCATTGTGCTTGAATTCTGGTATTGAAGGGAAAGTAAACTGTCATCCTATTCCTATCAGATATATGGTTTGGAAAATAGTTTTCATTTTATCCCTATGTCATTTAGATATCATATATCATATCATAGTTTTTTATTTATCTGTAACTCCATCTTGCATTCCCAAATTATGTGCAAATTTTGTCCAGGAAAGAGACAATGACTCAATTACATTTTGCAGGCAGCTAATTTATTTTCATGGTGAGGTTAAATGCAGGGCAGCTCAGCTGAAGTGTTTCCTCTACTTTAAGAAAAAGTGTCATTGAAATCTCATTAGATTCCTACAGTTGTCTTACATTTGGCAGCCAAGCAGCTTTAGACAAAACAGGCTCTTTGCAGCTGAGACTGTCATTTAGTTAAAGACAGCACTCTTTTTTCCTGAAACTCAAAGATTTTAAAGATGTTTTTTGTACAATGCAATGGAATAAGTTTGGAATATAAAATTTTAATTTTGGAATCATAGATCTTTTGAACTATTTTTACTAGTATTAAGGTTAACCTAATAAATTTTTAATCATTCCTTTTATTAATGATCATTCTGTACATTATAATCAATTTTTTATGTGTCATATTTATTGAAACACAAATTACAATCCACTATTAACGTTCCTGTGTAAATGTAAATTACATTAGCTAATTCCTATGCATTTTACATTGGGTTTCTTCAGCTCCTGAAATTTGAAAGGTGGAATAGGAAATATGTTCACATAATGATATCAATGCCTCAGTTTCAGAACTTACATTTGCAATTACTGACTTACATTGATGTTTCTTCCTCTTTAAAACTTCCTTCAAAGCAAAATAAGGTTTCATAATAAAAATGTTCTCTTTCCTTTTTTTAAATTGAATTGCAATCTTTAAAAATGCACAACAAATAGTGCATCCAATTAATTAGCTAGTTAAGGAAGACAGCTGTCCATTCCTGTCATTCTAAGGTTTTTAGTTACCAGTGTGTACAAACTTTTTTGGACAGCAGTTCATCAATTGTTAGTTTCATACTTCCTTAAACATGACCCTGAAATGATTAAGACTTTACAAGACATTTTCAGGTGATGAAAAAAGCTTTTCCACCGTTCTAATTTATTGATTTCACTATGTCCTTCTTTTCAGTAGCGCACAACAGAACAATTTAGAATGGTGAAAATAGCTCTTCTGTCATTCTAATTGACTATTTACACAAGGCTCCTCATTTTAACAGCTCATCATCTTGATGAATCCCACAAATTTGAATGTAAAGGGCAATGAACTGTACTTTTGAGACTAATCAAACTTTGTAAAAATAATTCGAAGTGAGCTTTGAAGAACAGTCTATATGACCCAGAAAGTGTCAGCACCTAGAAGTATTACAGTAACTGCTGCTCTGCATTCTACTGTTATTGCTTTACCTGGAACAGGAATAAAGGCATCTGTCAGAGGAACTTGTGATATATTTGTTCTCTGGTTTTATTTGTAGATTTGATTGATACAGCTATTAAACCACAAGAAACTGTCACCTCACTTAAGTATGAAAGCACACAATATAGCAGTCGACTTACAAAGATTTTTTGATTATTGTATTAAGATAGTTAAGAAGCTATGTATTGTTAACACTTCAAATCGATTTACTTGAAAGGATCATTGTGTACCATTAGCAAGGTGCTAATTACATAAAAAAGAAAGGTCTGCATGGTCTGGAGTTTTTATTCTCGGGCAGTTAACTTCTATTCCTCCTAACTGCTTTTGGAACAAAAATAAATCATGATTCAGCAGAAAATATATCCCTGAGATGAACTCTATCATGACCATAGCAATATGCTTGGTTTTTTTTATTTTATGCAGTTTTTAACATGTAAATCAAATTTGCATATTGATTTAGATACAAAGAAATAAAGGATTCTTTGTAAATGTTCGCATTTGTCAGTTTCCAAAAAATCAATCAATCAATAAACGATACAAAAAGCTACAACTTTCACATGTTTTAAAACTGTAAGATCTATAAAACAATGGTGATAAGGTTGATAAATCAAGAATTCATAACTTCTACATCTAGTCCTTCAAAAAATCTACTTTATAGGAACTGAAAGCTCCACTGATTTGAAGCAAAATGGAAAATATAAGTGTAAATGAGTGTTCTACTTTTGCTTGTTCTTTTAAAGACATTTTAATCTACCTCTTTGTCAATTTGGTATAAACACCTGGATTTAAATTTCATGCTGAAAGTAATTGCTCCATTCTTTTCCAAAGAATGACTACATTACCACTCTAGGTCTTTTCAAATGAATTGCAACATGCTGAGCGTGATGAGATTGTAGTAGAATTGCTCTTTTTTTGTGTAAAAGACCTGAAGTTTCTTTAAGAAAACCAAGAAAATAATTGAAGGTTTTAGGTTTTTGGGTTGTTTTACTCTAACTAATAAAATCAGGAGACTGTTGTGAGATCTAGCGGCAAGCAGTTTGATGTCCTCAGCAGGACACCAAAACTCAGAAGTAGTGCTGTAAATTCAGTGTGGGGCTTCGACACTGTGCTAAGTGTGGCCTGAATCTCTGGGGCTTCTCTTTGATGCAAGTGCAGTATATTAACTGGAAAAGCATTCACTTTTATTTGTCTGTACTGTCTGCGACAGCAATATCGCCTCATTTAGGCTAGTTCAACATGAAAATGCACAGAGAAGCAATCTGTTATAAATTAGCACAGCTCTCCTTTCATTTTACTAGCTAGTAATTGGAAGGGGTTACAAAAGTGTAATTTATCAGATTATATGTGTTTATCTTTTTGTGGGGACAGCATGCCTTTGGTGAATTTTCCTACGCACCCTGAGGGAATAATCTTTCCTTGATGTCCATTAGATCTGAAAGAAAACAATGACGCCTGTGAAATATAGGAGTATAATTTGTTGGGTTTGAGAAGCAGCAGTTTCCCAGACATCTAAAATGGTATTAATGACTTTATTAGAACCTTACCGTTCCTTGGAAATGCTTTTGCTCTCTCGTTTCCAAATGGTCTTGAAGTCACTGCAGAATTCGTACCACACCGTGAAAACGTAGTTTGGTGTGATCTCCTTCTCACCAGGCTTTGGCTTTATCCCAAAGTATCCCACTGTTTCTTCAAAGCTGCAAGGCAGGGGGAAAGAAAAGAAACCAGTCAACACATAAGCCCACTGGGGAAACAGTTTCTCTGATTCAGTAGTCAAGGCTGGCAATTACCATAACTTCTCCTTAGCCTTGGAAATCACAGCAGCAATTCTCACTAAGTATAACTAACCTTCCAACACCCACCTCTTTCCTAGGAGGGTAACTTACAGATGCACGAGTCACCACAGAGATCTGTCACACTGGCAAATCATGGGTGTTCAATTATAATGAGAAAAGCTTAACTTCTTGCCTTACAGGAAATGCTGTAATATATTTATTTTATTCTGCTGCACTTCATGAAGATCCTATTCTCCCATTTATCTTTACTGAAGGACTCTGGAAGAGCCACACACCAAGTCAGGAAAAAATCTCTAGGTTTGACTGAAGATAGTCTTCTAGTATTTAGGGAGGAATGGGAGTAGCAACAACCAAGCCACAGACAGTGCCAATAGTAATTCTGCAAAAGTTTTACTGAAAATAATCTCCTTCCTCATGTGTCAATAAACAATTAATTTTACAAAAATACACTGCCAGCATTTGAATACTTTTAAAAAGATTTTATAATGTGGCTGTTACTCAATTGCTATACAGCTGGACATTTTCAAAGTATTCTTTTATTACAGACAGTAGTTCCAAGAGCATTTTAACTGATTGTGCATTTTTAACCTTTATGACATTGCTTTGTATACATAAAATGGAAGAACTCACATAACTAGGTACTTATATAAATAAAAGTATGTTCACTTTTGTTAAAGTTGAATCCCTTTTCTCTGCAAAGTAGATGCAACAATCCTGAAACATTTGGTGATATTTATTAAAAATAATGCTAAAATTTGAAAGAAACAGTAACAACATATTTAAAAATAAGTAGTATTTCCTGGAATAATTATTTTATTTAATCAGAAGAAAGCTATATTCTTCTTCAGACTTGCAAATAGGTTCTTAATCTAAACACGGGAGGTGTGAATCTTGAAAATAAAATAAATAATTTTGAAGACCTGTAAGGAGTCTCCAGCCATTCAACTTGTTACATGAACCATGAATGTAGCTTTGGCATCTTTCTTCATTTATATTTGCATTTCATGTTTTCATACAGAAATACAAGGTTAGGCCCAAGATTTTTTGACTTAGTTTGAAATTAAAGCTCTTTAGTTTGTTTTGAAGGATATAAAATATTCATCAAAAACTACAGATATTATCCAAAATAAAGCAATATACGCTCCAGGTACTTCATAAAGAACCTTGGATTTTATCCACATGAGCCAATATGCTCTGGGTTTTTTTTTTTTTTGACACTTTAAAGATAGAAACCATGCTGTGCAATATCCCATACTGTTCAAGGTAAGCTATTAAAATAATAGGTTTTTTTAATCCTCATATGTGATAACCTGAACCTTTTACATTTCTTGCTAGGTTTTTCAGTAAAAATTTAACTATATTTCAAGTTAATTGATGTTCCATATTTAAACAATCAGAAAGAAATATGTGTATGTAAGGCCATAACACTCGGAGGTAATGGATCTTGCAGTGACACTAGGAGGAGAAACAGAAAAATAAATAAACAAACAAATAAACCAAATACCACCTTAAATATCTGTGCAAAACGTTTTTGTTTTCAAACTCTAAAAGTACTAAAATACCTTAGACATAATTACGTGGTGAAAACCATTTATGGTACTGGGCAATGTCATGTGCATTACATTCACTTGGGCCAAATACTGCTCAGCTGTTCACAGCTCTTTCACTGGGATAGCTTCACCAAGAGCAGCAAGAACAGAGACTCTTCTCAGGTTTGCTTCATGTAACAGCAGCCCCAGGTACACTGTGCATTCTTCTACCTAACAGAGCCTTTCACCATCCCTGCTCGAGCATACAGAGGAGGGATCCTGAAATCCTGCACCGTCTTTCTCTGCCTTCATCCTGACACTTTGCATCCTCTCTTCCTTTCTTCATCAGCCCCCATTAGCACTCCTTGGCTTTCATCCACCTTAATCTGGCTTCCTGGGCTACTTTCTGCCTTTCTAAAGTATCAATTTAAAATACTGAATATTCAGTTAGCAATTAAAAACTTCAAACTCTGTGTCCGACAACTAATTCCCTAAAACAGCTACAAACTGGGTGCAGAGAGTCTATTCTACTCCAGAAAGGCTACAAAGCAGGTAGGATAGGAAAGAGCCTTGTGCCAAGGAAGTTAGGTTTGCAGCTAAGTAGAGTCAGTCAGAGACTTGAAATGCGGAGGTAAAGCCCCAGCTGCCATTAGCCAGTTGTTCAGCCAATATTTAGGCATCTTCTGCAAGCAGATGGGAGCAGCTCTCCTAAGACTTGAACTGCCCCTTCTCCCTCTTCCTTTGGGAAGTGCCCCTTATCTCCCTCTTCCTGACTGCCTAGGAAAACTAACTGAGGTGTCTCGGGTGGAGTGAGTACAGTCTGTGAAAAGTACAATTAAAATCCAAATTACCACAGGTCTACTTTCAGTGACCAGGAAGGAAAAATATTGATGGGAAGCGAAAAATTAATTTACTCCAGTTTATTTATGGAAGGTCGATAGCTAAGATGGATGTTTCACTCTCACAAAACTACAATTTGGTAAACAAAACGTATTAGTAACATTAACTTATTGAATATTTTACTATCAATCTATAAATCAATCTCACTTTTTCCATACTTTGACTCTTTTGGCCTAAGTGAGGCACAAATATTCAAGCAATAAAAACACTGGGATTTCAATGGCTTCTTAGGCGAGTGAGTGCTGTATTCTAAGTGCTCATAATGTCCAGTGATGATGAAATACATTTTTATGTTCTAAAGTAGTTAATCAGTTATTTATCTTTTCCATAAAAGCCTTATTCAGTTCAATGCTGATAATTATAAAAACCTCAAACACAGTACACTGTTTGGATAAAAACACAAATTAAGTTTTTCCTGGAAGATTATGTAAGAGTTTTTCAGGAAACATATTACTTCTATGAAATACAGATCGATATTTTTTCTATATAATGTAATTCCTAAGTTCAATAATATCTTTGATCAAAATAAACTGTTAAAGAACACTAGCAAAAATCTTACCATTTTTGAGCATGTTCCAAACTGTTCTCTTCTTTTTTCCGTTCTTCTTTAGCTGCCAATGAGAAACATTTTAAAGGTATAAATAACTGTCTTACTGTTTTAGAAACCCCACAGATCAAATATTTCTTCTTTTCAAAACTGCACAGTTTGTATAGTAAGCATAACAAAAGTAGGAAACACTTGCTAATTTTCAATTTTTACATATTTCTTGTATACAATGAATGTTTCTTCTGTACCAATAAAATGTATTGGAATTGGAAAGTAATTTAAAATCCATATAATAATATATAGTGTTAGGCATAATTTGAATTAAATGTAAATAATTATACTTCACTTTCAGATTTTTTTGAAAAGAAAATATTTTGTGCTTGTTTCTTTATTGTTGCAGGTCAGAACTTATAAATTTAAATGTGTTTCTGCACAATAAATGACTGGAAGATCAACTGCAATTGAACAGGTATCAAACATAGTTAGCACAAACTGCTCCTTAGAGCTATCACATTTTGTTCTGGAAGCTGGAAAGTGAAAACACATGTAGTAGGTTTTAAATGTATGGCATGTACATGATTTTTTTTGAAAAATCAGCCAAGAATTTGAAATATGGGTAGTGAATCTGAGCCCCTCTATTACAGAATGCTCACATGAACTACTTAAAAGGATTTGATTTTCAAAAGATACACATTCTCTACTACTGGAAAGGTTTCCTGACCTGGATACTCAAAGCAAAACCATTAGTTTTTGTTGATCAAGTCTTCTTAATACAGAAGAGCAACTTCAGCTGCAGCAGAATACCACCTATATAAAATAATGCTACTGTTGAAAAGTCATTCCTACTCCATATTAAAATAATCCTGTAAATGGTAACATTAATATAAACAGAATTCAGACAATTTTTTATACAAAGATAAAGAACTTTATCTTTTTGCATCTCAGTCCACAGGAGTGCCTGGTTGAAATACAGTTACAAACTTGAGTTCACAGACAAGGCCATTGAGAAACTGGTCCTGAACAACTCCATTTCATTATAAAGCGACTGACAAAGAGGTTTTTACTATGATAGTTTAAAAGGAAAATAAAACTTGATTGCTTCAGCACGTCTGCCGTTAACAAAACAAGTTAACCTCAACTCATACATTTCCCTGCCTTGGGTAAGTGTGTTGGAGATACTTGTTCCTATTATTTCAATGTAGCCAATGGCCAGAAACAATGTTGTGCAGGGAAAGCAATTAATTCTATATGATTAGGTTCAAGACAGCTGCAAGTGAAATATATAGGGCAGCTCTGATTTATCCCATTCACCTCAGGGTCCCAAAATTTGCCTAAAGTTAACCCAATATACTCGATTCATTATTTTAATTTTATACCATTAAAAGTAGAAAACACAGGTTGGCATTCTACTGATTCATAATGATATAAAATTAATTACACAAGCTGAACTATGTATAAAATTGTACAATTCATTATTACATTAGTAATTTCTTCTTGGTTTTCGAAGAGATGGAATATTAAGTACGGCAAATTTCCCAATATAGCTACATTCCCAGCTACAACAGAAACAGTATCTTCAGGTCACTACACATGAAACACAATAACTAACAAGGACAATATGTTTATACATTTATAGTTAGGTGGCAAGACCGGATTTACTGTTTTTAATCTTGCAAGAACAGGATAAGGAAAGATAGTTTAAAGTTTTTATACAAAGTAAAAAAAAATGTGTGACTTTTAGGAAGAAACACACAGAGTCTACATTAATATAACAGTGTTTGTGTACCAATAAAAGGCAAAACAGGAAGGAAGAAAATAGCTGTATTATATGGCAAACAGTATTTTCTGTATTTTTAACTGTAAATATGTCCACCCAGGAATTGTTTAAAAGCATTTATTTGAAATTTATATGTTGAGACTTGTTAAAAAAATAAATGAACCACTCCATGTAACAAATTCTACAATGTGTAAGACAAGAAACTAGAGCAATTCTCTTATTGTCCATAAAATTTCTAACTAATTTTCCACTCAAAATCTGAAATATCCTGCTCTTTTTCTCCCCCTCCAGAACCTGCAGTGACTACCACAATCAATGCTGTCAGTATAGGTTTCCATGAAACAATGTAATTTCTTCAGGAGAGCCTTCAAAGCCCCATAGTCAAGATATCAATCCTTGTCTAATTTGTGGAGTTACTGAAGACAATTCATATGAATTACATAAGTGAAAGAACCTATTTTTTTTTTTTTTTTAATATATTTCTCTAGCAACACCATATTTACTTGCATAGGATTTGCTTTCTGCAGAAGTGGAATGATGTAATCCTTCCACCCTTAGGCCACGTGTTTGATTTCAGTTTCATCAAGTTAAGACTATATTAGCAGCCATATCAGACTGGCATGGGGATTCATCCAGCCTAATTATCCTGCCCCCAGCAGGCACTGAGACAGGTGCTCAGTTAGAATTATGGACCAGGACAAACACACTTTCCTAAGTGAACTCTCTGCCTCTGAGATTCTGTAGCTCATACAAAATGTTTCCTGCATCAGTGGCATTGTAATGTAAGCCTCAATGGATTCTTCTTCAAGAACCTGCTCATTTTGTGCTCAAGCTTTTAGAAGCTTTTTAACTTCCAGACCTGCTGTGGCAAGTGTCCTATAGCCCACTATATGCAGCACATTTTGTTTGTTTTGAAATGGACACCTGATATCACTCTTGTATCAGAGAAAACCTGACTGCAGTGAACACTGCAATATGGTGTCTACTGGCATGAGCTTTTTGATTAGGATGCTTTTGAAGCAAATTTCCTCAGTATTCCCCATTTAATGAGCATTGTTTTGGTTTGCAGGTAGGTTTTGGTGCTTGTAAACTAATTTCCATTAGGAGAAAACTAAACAGGAAGCTCCACAGCAAATGGACTCCAATATTTAATAGGGAAAAAAGGACTAAAATAACATTTGGGCCTTCAGACATCTTTGAATACATGAGATGGATGATCTAATGAATTTGCCTTATGAATCACATATTTGTGATGACTTCCTTTTACTGAAATGCAGATGTCATAATGAAGATTCATGATCCTCTAACAGTTTAAAAAATGAAGTAGTATTAGACTGAAATGGTAAAAAAACTCTCCAATTTATTCTTTCTAAATATCCTACTTTTTGAGGATGGAAGAGTACATAAAATACTCTATATAAAAAATGAGAAATTACCAGAAAATATTTTTTTTAACAGGTCTAATGTATGCACAGCAGCTTCCAGTTACAACAGAGCCAATACTCTTCATGCATCAGGCTACTATGAAACAGATCTCTAAAGAGCAAAGGAAAGAAAATACTGGATACCAGTACAGACTGAAAATTGAGAAGGTCAGTAACTAACAGAGGCAACAAGAAAATGACGATGCACTAAGAAAAGTGCAGGGAAAGACGAAGAAAGACAAAGAAAAATGGGTAGCCACAACTACACAAAAATCTCTCAATTAATTCTGCCCCTCTAGTGAAAAAGTCTAGTCATTGAGTCTGACTAAACAAATTTTCTGGTATTTCTCTCAGACCTTAAATATATGAATGCATTTAAGAATGATAACTCACTCAAGTGTATTGATTTAGTTGGACACATTACAGCTTTTCTTTTGTTTTTCAGTATTTTACTACTTTCCTAATTGAAAGATCTGATGCATAAAGTTTTTACGATTTTTTAAAGCATTTTGGAGCAGTGAAAATTTCCACAATTACAAGAAAACTGTAACAACTACCCGTTAGGGTGGAGATATCAGAACTCTTAGTTTCGTATTCCAAGGCCAAGTTCCTGTGATTCAAAAATACATGCTTTAAGAACTTTAGGAGACTGCTTTGTAAATTACAGTGTTTTCTGCATAGGAAAAACACCACCCAAAAACAAGGTATTTGATTTTTTTTTTCCCTTGAGGAGGGAGATATGCCTTTTCTGACTCATGTCTTCCAATCAATCACAGTTAAGACAGAATCTATAGTAAGACATAGACAAAAAAAAAAACCCAACCAAAACTCAACCTAAAAAGTAAACAACAAAACCAACCAATGAACCAAAACAAAACCCCTACTGACATTCCTCTTGGAGCTTTATAAATCCTGGACAGAGACTGTTAAAACAGTGACAAAAGGTTATTATGACATTTCTAGTCTCATGGGAACCCACCTTCCTCATTAGTCAAAACTAAAACCTCTTAGGTAGGCATGTTGAAATGTAGCCAAAACATGAACCCCATCCTTGAAACATAGTATACCCCCCAAGAGGTTATCTTTTCCCAAGGTGAGGAAAGTCACATTCTATGACATTATCAAGTTAGGAGAACAAGTGACAATTGACCTTGTTTTCTTAGTCTTTGTAAAGCATGAACCATGCTTTGAAAACATTATCACCATTTGAAAACAGATCCAAATCTCTTAGATATTATCACTGGTGATATACTTGGGTATCAGAAGTTGAACCCAGAAGGCTCCCAGGCTAGAAGTGTAGTAGATCTATTTCTACCCTCAAGTACAACTGTCATGCAAGAGAAATTGTTTAATTAACCTGTGTAATCAGGGATTTTGGAGAGTGGAAGAAAAACCTCAAAGGTGTCCTAGGTGGGCAAAATGACTACAGAGGATCATCAAAAGCTCTGCAGTTACACAGTTTTTCTGTTTCTGAACAAAATTCTTGATGTGTTCAAACTACTAGCACACTGCACTATGGCTGTACTACGACCAGCAGGATTAGAGCAGGATGAAATAAGCCTTCTTTGGTTTTGATTTCAATAGATCTGTTAACACGGAAAAGTTTTGAACAGATTTAATTTTTAGGAAATGCTTGACTCAAGCCATATTGACCTAAAAGTAGCATGATGGAAAACAAAATTTTCGGAAGGATGCCCTTGCTAGTACATGGCATTTCTTTGAGCTGCAAAGAACTACCACAAACAATCTCAATCCCTTCCCAAGGGCTGCTATGTTAGAATCACTATGGGTTAACTGTGGCCAGTAGCTATGCACCCCGCAGCCACTCACTCACTTTTCCCCCTTCCTCCTCAGTCAGACAGA